GTCTGAATGAAGAATCTACAAACGCTGCACAAGATTACACACTGACGCAGCCTGGGACCATATACAGGGTTAAGATGCAAAGGGAGCGCAACTTATTCCCATCACAGATAATAATCACAACACTGGTACTTGGACTCATTCTTCAAGTTCCATACGATGCACTGGGACATGGACTTTTAAGCCATAAATTGACTTTCCTACACTTATTTAGTATTACTTTTCTCAAGACATTCATTCTCCCAAAAAACTCAAACGCAACACATCCTGAAGGTTAAGTCAAATTTTTACAGACAAAAACATACAGTTACTGAGTCGAAGAAATACAAGCAAAAGAGAGAGAGAGAGAGAGAGAGAGAGAGAGAGAGAGAGAGACCTCAGAGAGGGGGAGAGGAGAGGGGAGGTGGGGGAATGATTTGGAATGATTACAGGGTGGTTACAATATCCGCTGAGATCTCGCTCCTCTCACTTCAAAGCCACAAAATTTTTTACATGCACCGTGACCTGAGGGAACCTTCAGATTATAATTAGATCCTGTATCTAGCCCGAAAACACGGCAGAAAATTATAACAGCCTTAAATTTGATTTAGCTACTCGCAGCAGCGACGTGAGTGTCTGAGTGTGAGGCGGCCTCAGACCTGTCGTCTTTTGAAACGATTGGGTTTGATGTAAAACAGTAAGCTATCAATAGCTGTCGAAGGAACTTTAAAAATAACTCTAATATCCTGGAGTTTGACAATGTGATTATTTCATTTGCTAATTAAAGTGGGATAACATTACAAACTGCACCACGGGAATCTTATTATTAGCATTAGTGACGTATGCTCACTATAATGTGTAACACTATGAGTACTTAATGCGCCGTAATTTGTTTTAACTGAGCTGATTAAATATGAGGACTGGATTACAGCACGATTAAATGAAAATGCTAATATTTAACTTTATATCCTACGATGGAGCTGCTGTAGGTCACTTGCAGCAGAAGATGGTATTAAAATAAAAACAGCTTTGATTATTATCCTTTTTTGAAAAATGAACTAAAATATGCCAGTGTATTTGGAGTTAGGTATTAAATTAAATGAAGCGCGCATCAAGCTAGCTTTTTCAAACTAATGTCACACGATGTTGCTGCATCACAGGTGACTTTACAAGGTGACGATAAGGCTACGATATCCCAGAGCTATAGCGCAGATTTGTGTGAAAAGAGCAGAGTGAAACGATATGGTGAACTTGTCGCACTTTTTTACATCCCTTGGCTGGGTTTGTGACTTATGTATTAAAATATATAATTTCACATGATTGTTATTTTCACACTGACAGTCGCTAGAGGGCACTCTAGGCTTGTGTACCAGTATTTGCTACTCCTGTACCGCTGAAAAAATGTTCGTTATTTACAAACTGACAGGGCACGCTAAATGTTTGTTATTTACAAACTGACAGGGCACGCTAGGTGACTGGTGCGACTTATACTCGAAACGACACTTACAGTAAAATACAGTAATACATTTTATTATTATTATTTTTACAGTCAGGAAAAAAACCACGAAAAGGTAATGAGGAAAATGATTCATCGCACAGCAGTAGCAGACTTTTCTGCAACAACTTTGAGTTCTTTTACTAAAGCAACAAAGGCCAGAGAGGAGGGTCCTTTACGTTCACAAGTGATGAAGGCTCTGAATATCAGATGCAGCTGTGCCTTATGGGAAATGCCACTGTGGTTTCAATCTGGGGCATATCTTTCATCTTATTACCCGGCTGGAAATACTTTCTCTCCGTTCCCTCCAAACTGCAGGACTCCGGTTTTGAGAGGTTCTGTGTGACATTTAAAAGCGAAAACAATCGACACTAATGTATCGTACATGTCCTCGACGCTGGAAAATATATTCCTCACTCGCTCCACGACCCACTCCAGACTGAGTTAATATCTGCCTCCTGACTGCTGTTGCCCATCATCGTCATCATCATCATCATCGACTCTCTCTTTCGCTCACAATCTCCACGTACACACACTTACATGAGCAGGCACATAATCACTCTCAGCATATTGTGCGGCTGCTTGATCAGTTTATCTCACTCTGCCTGTTCCTCTCTCAGGGTGAAGTCTTACTGCGATTGTGTGTGTATGTGTGTGTGTGTTCGTGTGTGTGTGAGTGTGAGGATTACAGCAAAAGTAAAACTTTAATAACACTGAGCTCTCTAATCTGCACGTACGTCCTGGTTCTCTTCTGCGTCTCTGTCCAGTTTGATTCAAAGATGTCGTCTGTGTGTGTGTGTGTGTGTGTGTGTGTGTTTCTGCACAGCCACTTCCGTGTTATATGATAGACTGCGGTGAGAGACTGTAACTCCATTAGCAGCTCTTTGTACTGCAGCGCTTCCATGGAAATATGAGTCGGAATTATGTGGAGAGGGTGGAGAAGAAGTGATGGAGGACAGACGGAAGAAACAGGAAACAAGAAGAAAAGTCAAGGATTGGAGATGAGTCTACACCAGTGACTCCCAAACTCTGGTGTGACGTTAGAGACCATTGGTTGTGCCGCGAAAAATTATCCAGTTTCACTTAATTGATCCGAAAAAAATTGTCTTTGTTTGCCGATGCGTTACAGGCAGAACAATTAAATACTCATTGGTTGTGCTGCGAAAAATTATCCAGTTTGACTTAATTGATCTGAAAAAAATTGTCTTAAAATACTTAAATACTTATCCACTAGGTGGCATCAGATGACTTTCTTCAATTCCTACGAGTAAATCAGTATTGTATTCAACTAAACAGGCCAACAGGTTTTTTTGGTAAATTGTGAGTAAATTTTTAACTAGAAACTTTTTGTGATATTATTGTCTATTGTATGAATATATAACTAAGACTCCACAGCTAAGGTAGTTCAATAATGAATACTCCATTCCAGAAATTAAACAGGAGAAGGACGAGGAAAAGGAGTTTATTTTGTCAGGCTGATTTATTGCTCGGTGATACTTCCATAAAAATATATGTGAATATATCAGTGCCCACAATATAAAACAGTAAAAGGTTGCAGCAGTTAACAAGCATATGATATCAATATCATCCAATTATATGACAGAGCAAGAGACTTTACACATGGGCTGATACCGTCGGGTCAGCAGTAATCATTTCTGTTGAGTGGACGCCACATTAGGCTAACTGAACCCTAACTGCAGTTCACTGTGAACTCAACTGTAAACTGCTAACAGGCTGCAGCACAAAGGCGCTTCAGTAGAACTGGACTTAACGATAACGGCCGGAGGGAGATGCTATCACTGCTGGTCTCTGCACAACACACACACACACACACACACAAACACAAACACAAAATTACCATCCATCCCTGAAAGACTAACAATACTGCAGTAGGTACTACAGTACATCAGTGGCAACTTACAAAGTCATGAGGCTGACCCTGCTTTTTATTTGCTCAAGGAACTCAACAGACAAAGATCAGGACCAATGAAATCACTCCTCTGCTCCCCGCCCTCCATCTTAAACAAATCATCCGTGTCGTCTCTTTGTCTTTTCCTGTTTTATTTGACTCGTCCCTGTCTCACCTTTGTCACATCTTTGTCCTGCCGTCAACTATTCCTGATCCAACATTGATTCCAACAGGGGTCGCCCTTCATTACAGATGACGACATCTGCCTCTGTAGATATGTTTCAGCATGGAAATTGTATTTGTTTGTAACTTTAGAAATCGGTCTATCCATCCATCCATCCATCCATCCAATCTGATCCTGACATTTTTTCCCAACACGTCTGAATCCCGACTGTGTCTAAACATGATTGAAGAGCTCTACTGTTTTCCATCTTCATCAAGTCTGATCCTGACTTTTTTTCCCAACACGTCTGAATCCCGACACTCACATACTGTACATGGACACAGTCCTATAACAGTGTTGTATCCCAGCTGTACCATTATTCCCGCTGAACGATGACCCCCCCCCCCAACCCCCATGCTGCTCCTGCATCTACTCCATCCCTCATCTGGTTCCGCTGCACCACTGACAAAAGCTCAATTTCCACCTCCACCTTTCTCCTTCATACGTCTGCCCACCCGGAACAGGCAACAGTGGCCCTCAGTCTTCTCCTCCACCTCCCCCTTCTGATTTAATCCCTCTCTTCTACTAATCTACAGCACACGCCTGTCACTCCGTCCACCGCTCCCTGGCAGTGGATGAGTTCATTTTCAGCCGCACACCCTAC